ATTGAATGCTGCCTGATTGTCAGGCACTGTCGGGTGGCTCATCTCACTTAACTCTCCCAGCATCCCTTAGTCATCCTTATTTTGCAGAACAGGAAAATAGGGCCCAGAGAGATTAAGGAACTTGCCGAAGGCCACACAGCTAGCAAACAGCCAGACCAGCATCTGTATAAAGCAAGTAAGCTTCAGAGCTCATGTCCTTAACCACTGCCCACATCATCTCTAAAAAATACCTAGAAAACAGTCTTCCCTATGAAGGGAAAACATATGTGAAAAATGAGTTTCTTGACTTCATGGAGTTTAAAATCCAGGTGGCTAAAAAAAAAATTAAAATTAAAACAAACAAACAAAAAACCTTTGTTGAAATGCTAACAAAAACACAAATCAATAATTAAGGTCAAAAGTTTGCAGTAATCTGGTCAGATCAAATCATATCACTAACATTTATTCTATTAAATAAAAATGAAACCTAGGGGATATGGTTATTCTCAACTGCCTGGAAACCTAAAAGCGATATATCCTGCCCAGAGTGAATACTGATATTCACAAATATGGTCAGGAATCTGAAGACATCTTTTTGAGCCAAAAGTTCATGGTGTGTGTGGCTTCTGAGTTCAAGAGCAGAAGACTAGAAGGAGGACAAAACTATACCACCCCACTCCCAACCAAGACCTCCTGGGCATGATTGAGGCTACGGACTTCATCTGGCAAAGAAAATGTCTTGGTCCAGTGAACCTCAACCTTCCTAATTTGGCCAGATTCTCACCGGCCATATTTCTATAGCACCCGGAAAAGAACAGAATATTCGTGCTTTCAACATGGTTGACTGAAGACGGGCATGAGATTATAGCAAAGTTCACAGAAACCTTTAAAAAAAAGTGAAAGCTCGAATTGATTTGTCCCTGTAGCTATCAAATTAGACATTTAATGTGAGAACTGATAAACCTTTAAAAGATAAAATGATTGAGATCAGTCCCCGGAGAATCTGTGGCAGAACAGTCCTAGAGATTGCAGTGTACAGACACTGGACGGTCTCTGGCTTGGATCAAAGTGGGTTTCTTGGGAATACATTTTTGAGAAATGTGTTATGGTCCCACCCTTGGCTGAATGGAACTTCCATTTGTTTTCTTTCTGAGAGAGCGAGTCTTCACGGTACAAGGTATTGTAAGAGCTGGCGTAAGAGTCTTTACCCTGGAGTGCTTGACAGTGCCTGGGGTTTAATGCCATCAACCAGCAACAGGCTCATCCCATTAAAACATCCAAAGGAACTCAAAGCAACCACAGAGAGTCTCTTACTGGTCTCAGCGTTTGGAAGGACAAGACAGCAAAAAAATATGGGAGCAACAGCTGTTTTCCCATTGGTGGAAAAATCTGATAATAAGGGAATTTTGTCTCTTAAAATGCACTCTGGTTTTTAAAACTGCCAGCTTCCCATGGGATGAGCAGCTTTTAGCTATGCCTTTCATTGTCTTCACACAATTTTTAAATTTCTTTTCAATTACATAAAGGGAAGGCAACCCGTTATGGGAAGGACTGGAAAACAGAAAGAACTGGAGTATGTGGAATAATCTGAAGGCCCCATCCTTCATTCAGTCCAGTTTAATAGTTAAGGAATAAACCAGAGTCAAACTGCTGAAGTTTAATCCCTGAAAGGGCTACTTCACAACTGAAAAAAATGACTTCCTTTTGTGCTTCAGAGTCTTCATATCTTATATGAGGATGGTAATGACAGCCTTTTACGATTCTTGTGAGTCCGAGATGAAATAATACATCTCCTGTGCCTGGAACTACACCTGGCACGTGGTACATGTTCAATGCAGGCTGGGGAGTCTTACTGTCCTGGCTCTCAATTCCCATCCCCAAATCCTTTGTGCCTGTTTCCTTTGCTCCAGCTCCTCACTCCCGTGTGCTGTGTTGGTACTGGTGTTTTGCCTTCATTTCTGTCCCTAGCCTTCCCACCCTGCCTCATGTGAAGTCTCTTCCTCAGAGGCTTCAGACACAGTCAACACTATATTCCACTGAGCCCACAGAGGTTGGGCGCCTGGGATGAGAGACAGGAGGCCAAAGCTCTCCAGCTGCGGTGAGGCTCCCGGAGCCAATGAAAGAATAAGGAGACTGAAGAAGCACACAGAACCCCACCTGCAAGGTCCCAAATGTCGGGAGGGAGAGGACACACGAACCCATTTTCTGGTACCACAGGGCCACAGGGGCTGTGTTTTCCTTTGTTTCGTTAAGCAGAGGCCATGCTAGACCTGCTGGTGAAGCGGTATAGACGCTTATGAGTGATGCACCCGTAACACAAGGAGGAGCTCCAGCTACACTTCAATATCCCAGGTGTCATGAAAACCCTGCTGCTGCTACTATTCATAATAATAGTAGAGGCCTAGAGGCAGCCCTTGTGTATACGTTCCCTTTCCGAGAGCTTCATCAGAACCAACCAGCACCGAAAAAACTATAGAATGTTTACCAGTTCCCCTTGTGCTCTGCTCCTCTTGGGTAAAAAGAACTTGGTCCCAGAACGTCCATCTTCTGTGACATCACTGCAACAGACTGAAGCTTTTCCATCTTGGTCCACTGCATATCAGAAAGGCCAGACAGGTGGCAGTAAGCGTTGTCAGCACTAATTAACCACACTAGGATCAGTCATAGCAAAAACGGAAGGGACTTTCCTTCTGGTCTCACACACTAGTTCATCTAACAAGCCCTGCTTTAAAATGTGAATTAATAGGTACTTTACCAACCTTACAGATTCGTCCCAGATCAAAAAGCCCTCAGTTCCAATGTCAGTGCCCCCGGAACAGGAAGCAGTGTGCACCCACCCCGAACACTGGCGTTACAAGAAGACACGGGTTCCTTTTTTCTTAGCAGTTTTGCTATTGTTGTTTCAACTGTTGTGTAGGATGCAAATTGCAAATCACACTTTGGATAATTTCATATCCTCATTCTAAAAAACACATGATTCTCGTAAGGAGGTGAGAAGAAAAGGGCCCTATAAGAAAGAGTAAAGTAACTGAAGCTCTTTTTCCTAGTTTAGAACTTTAGATGCAGCCTATAGTCAGCTTATAATTTGATGACAAGTGATAGAATTAGTTTTAAAACTCCTTCTTGATTGAAAATAGTTCTATGAAGCTTCTCCAGAGCCAGCTCACAATCAAATAAGAATATCTGATTACGTGGGACTGAAGTTTTTAAAAATTGGTGGCAGCGGGGTGGGGGAGGGTGCGCTGGGAGACGAACAAATGCTATAAAAAGGCCTTCAAAACAAACGTTCATGCCAGAACGCTCCGGGAGCTTCCCCAGCCCATCCTGCTTGTCTGAGAGGTTTCACTCCATGAAGCCACTTTCTGGACCTGCCTTGCGAGGTACAGGCTGCAAGTCTTCTCAAATTACTCTGAAGCCCCACAAGCTTAACAATGTTACAACACCAAGCATCTCGAGATCAAGCCCCTCATTGCTTCCTCATTTTAAGCTGCCAGATGATGAACAATTGGACAGATGCTTCTGAAACCAGATTTTTTTTAACTGACAATTATTTCAGTGTTCACAGTGCTTAGGTACAAAGCAGGCTGCTGCCTTCCGATGAGTCTGCAGAAAAATTAACTCTGAAACATATGAAGGTGGTGAAAAGGTAATTTAGGGAAGAAAAGATCATTTGCTTCATTGTGACTACAGAGGTGTTCCTCCCTCTTTATTGTTCGCATTATTAGATCAATAGTGATAAACCCCCGACAAGGAGCCAACCACACCCTCTATTCAACTCAAAAAAGGGATTCATACCAGGAAAAACAACCTCCTTTCCCAGCAGCTAAAAGTGGGCATATACGGAAAAACTGTTATCAAGAAAAAAAATAATCATCGGCAAAAAGACACAGGGGTGTATCAATCCACCTGAGACTGACATCTTGTTCCGTGGAGTTCTAAGAAGCCAGGTGGACAGTCAGTCCACTTTCCATGGTGATTACTATTTCTCTGATGAGTGAAAGTGATGATGGCTGAGAGTCAGAGCCAGAGTTAGGCTGTGCTCTGCACAGGTTCACAAAGGTGGTGACCCAGGCTGCAAACCTGCCCGTGCTTAGACGCTGCCGGAGAGCACAGGATGCCACTCCCGCATCGGCTGAGTCAACCAGACCCGGGTTCCCAAGGAACGGGGGTCTGGCAAATCTTGTCTTTATTCCAAGGTCTACATACAAATTCTTGAAAGTGCAGTCCTTTCCCCGCACCCGGCAAGTGCCCCACCTTCATCCCACTGGGAAAACGTCTCAACATCCCTCGTGAACGAGGGAGCCTTTATCAGCATCAGGGGTTTTTCCCCTGCGGAGTTGGGAGGCTGCAATATAGCTCCATCTGTTAAAATCGTTAATAAGAGTAAGAGAATGCCACCAACTCCGCCCCAGGGAGCTCCCCCAGAGTGTGCTTCCCTGTCCTTTCCGGATGTCAGCTTCTGACTGCGTAATTCAGATGTTCCCAAATCCAACCGAGCGACCGCCGATTCTGTACCAGCTCGCAGGGACTAGCCACCGAGCTACTTCACTTCCCAAGGGAGTCCAAAGGTCTGGCAGATTAACTTTAGAGGGAAAAAGAAAACTGAAAACCAGGAATAGGCTATGGCAAAGAAGAATAACTTCTACTTCCGGCTGAAATGCTGGTTCTTACCAGGAAGAAAAGCACTCAGAATGCATCCGATTGTTCATCAGAGGAGACAAAGACTCTTTCACTGTTTATACATTACCAGGCTCCAGTCTTCGTATTTTCCTCCGAATTTTAATGAGATCCTCCAGCTGCTATTAATGTGTTTTAGCTTTAGCTTCTGCAACGCACTGAAAGCAGCGTGTTTACACAAGGTGGCACCCATGCCTGGGAACTGTCAGGGAAGCAAGGCCATTGTCTGCACGGGAAGCTTCTAAGGCTGGGCTGAGTGGTATTATGTCATGGAGACTTTTATGCTGTGTGGGCACCACAGAGCACACATCCTCTCCGCTCTTCCAAATTAAACACAGACGACCACAGTTCAGTTTGATTTTTTATAGCCAACCGCAGCCAGCAGATTGGAAATGAAGGCTTCCATTCCACACCTAATGCATCTCACTGCTGCAGGATGCCAAAGGGGTACCGCATGTGCATGTGGTTTTGAGGGATCACAGAAAGGCACACGAGGTTTTAATTTCAGCCGAAGGCAGAGGCTCGATCTCTGGAAACTAAAAGCAAAATTGAAGGGGGGGTCCCTTTACTGGGGGCCCCCATCCCTCTGCATCCACAGTGGCTATGCCCAGGAGCACAAGTGAGCAGAGACACAGCTCTTCGTCTCTGACCAACGGTCAATGTCAACAGCCGGGAAGGTGGGTGGAGCTCCTAGAACCGCCACCTGAAATCAGCCCAAAACATGATTTCCTTCTTCTTCTCCTTCTCCTTCCTTTGTTTCTTGCTATTTCTTCTCTTCTACTTATGCCTTTCTAGTTTCAGGAAACAGCTCACACTAGTGATAAACTGCTTTGCAACTGCATTTTGCAATAGGGAAGGCGGTACCCTATCGCTCATCTGACGAGAAGCTGCTTGCTGTAGTGCCACCTATCGGTGTTCATTCATTTCATTCATTTATTCTTTTAACATTACTGACCATCCTGGTAGGTAGAACTCTAAGATGGTCCCCAGACATCTGCCCCCATCGGATCTGTACCCTGTATAAGCCTCTCCCCTTGAATGTGGGGAGACCAAGAATATGATGGATAGCACTCCCAGGATTATGTTACCTGTTAGAGCAAAGGGATTCTGCCAAAGTAATTAAGGTCCCCATAAGCTCTGAGTTCATCAACTGGGAGATGATCCCAAGTGGGCCTGACCTAATCAGGTAATGCCTTTTAAAAAGAGACCTGGACCCTCTTTGAAGGAAAGAAGAAAGAAAAGAAAGAAAGAAAAGAAAGAAAGAGAGAAAGAAAGAAAGAAAGAAAGAAAGAAAGAAAGAAAGAAAGAAAGAAAGAAAGAAAGAAAGAAAGAAAGAAAGAAAGAAAGAAAGAAAGAAAGAAAGAAAGAAAGAAAGAAAAGAATGAAAGAAAGAAAGAATGAAAGAAAGAAAGAAAGAAAAGGAAAGAAAAAAGCCATCATGAGTTCTCAGACTCCTGCCAATAACCTCATGAACCTGGAAGAAGAGCCCAGCCCTCAGATGAGAGCAGCCAACACCCTGATTACAGTCTTGAGGAGAGGACCCAGCAAAGCATGCCTTTACCCCTGACCCAGGAAAACCAGCAGGTAATAAATATACATTGTTTTCAGCTACTAGGTTTTTTCTTGTGGCAATTTTTTATGAAGCAATAGAAAACTAACACAAATGCCACCATGGGCCTGGCACTGTGCTGGGATGCTGGCAGCAAGAAGCAGAGAAGGGGTACACAGGGAAGTAGATGATAAAGGGGAAACACAGAATTCAGTGGGACCAGAGAGGGAGCTGCTAATTCTGGCCGGGCAAGTTGAGAACATCTAAAGAGCAGCCTGCTCCCCAACTTCTCGAAGGTGGACAGCATTTAAAACCCAGAGCCTTGCGACCACGTTGTGAGGGCCCTTCTGGGACTCAAAATATACACAGAGAATCAGCACAAAGAATGCCGTTATTTCTGTTGAGCTGGGCACCAACAGATAACTTCAGGTTATCAGAAGGGCATGTACATCGTTTCACTAGAGAATTCTAACAAGTCTTACACTGACAACCTGAATCCTACAGAAAAAAAAAGAAAAAGATGTTCTCATTTCGGGCCTGCATAAAGGAAGTACTATTATTAAAACATGCTGCCCTGCATGAGAACCTCACTCAAAGTGCCTGGCAGTTTCTTGTTTCTCTGGCTCAGGGAGAAGTTACAGGAACATGGGGTCTACAGCAAATGTCTAATCCAGATGGCTTTCCCCTGGTCGCCGGCATGCCCGAGGGCTGCCACTTTCTTTGGTGGTAATCAGTGTGTGCTTCGGGAAGGCCGACTGATTCCAGCGTCAGTCCAGGCAGAATATGGGAGGTAAATCCACTGCCAAAAATAAAAATGCATTCCCAAGTCAAATATTCATTACTTTTGGATGAGGTACTGTTTTGTAGCTTCCCTGCCAGGGCTTTCCTCCTTCAACTTCTGCGAATCATGTCCACCCCCTCTGAACTCCCCAACCAACCAGCGTCATGAGCTCAAGGGGTCAGTAGCCAGCTTCACTCTCTCATTTCAGCCAAAAAAAAGTTTCCTGCAGACATTTCAGGAAAAAACTCAAGTAGAAAGAAAGGAAGAATGAAAGAAAGAATGATGTACCTAAATATAATTTGGGCAATGGGTTCTGTATCTTTCAATTCCATTTAAAGGGATCCCTGAGCACACATTGATCTCCAACTGTTTTCAAGGCCCTGGGCAGGGTTGAAGAAACTTCTCTAATATTTAGTCAACACAAGAAGCTGGAAAACACCAGCCTTGTGCAAGGCTCTGAAAGTCCCTGCCTGGTGATTTTCACAAGTAGGCGTGAGATCACTCCGGACCCTCTTCCCAAACAGATACATGCGGTTTTCAGTTTTGCAATCTGTGCTACAGAGCAAACGCCTCCTTCACCTTGGAGAGAGAACCCTCTGTGTGCACAGCAGATAAATGAAAAGCCCTTCCCAGCACCATTCTTTATTTAGATAACTGCACCCTCCTCTCCATATGGACGGATTGTGTGAAACCAAGCCGTACAGTAGGCAATCGTCATCAAAGTTTGGGGTACAGAGCTGAGCCTAAACTCCACACGATAAAATTACTGATCTGCGGCAGGGAAAATAATCCCTCGTGCTGGTGATGATGGAGAAGCAGCAGCCCCCAGGCAGCCCTTCTCGCAGTTCTCTGCCACCCACGGTCGGAGTCATTCCCAAGGCAGGACAGGAAACGAAGGAGTCATCCACCCTCATGAGGATTTCTGCCTAATAAAAGGCGGTTCTTGTCCATCAGGTATGGTTTTGATTTTTTTTTTAATAATCTCACTATCCACTGCCCATAAGAACCTATAATTCTTACATTCAAGAATATACTTGTAAAGTGGTAGAGTGCGTGCGTGCCTAGCGTGCACAAGCGTTCAAACCGCAGCACCTCCATTAAAAATAAGTAAGTAAAAAAAAACAAAAACAAAAAACCTGCCCCCAAAAAAAACTTTAAAAAAAATAAAGTTTTGAAAAAAGACTGCACTTGTAAATATTTAATGTAAACCTTATCCGAAGATTGAATAAGCAGAATCTATTATTGCATTCAAAAAGAATTTTGCTGGCTGAATTTATCCAAACAGACAAGGGAAAGATGAAGAGACACCAATAAATATCCCATGTACCAAAATAGAAAAAAAAAAACCTAATTCCAAGCAACCAAAAGTAAACGAGTGTTTCATAACCAGCTTCACGTTACATGGGTTGACACTGTAAAAAACTTTTAAATCATTAAAGTTTTTTTGTGTTCCTTTTAAGAACTTTAGAACACGCACATAATAGTTTACATGTCTGAAGAAAAGGAATAATCGAGATGGAAATGCTCTAAAAAGCAGAAGGAGGAACCCACAAATAACTATTTTAAGTCTTCAAGTGGACTAAGGGGAAAAGATGTCCTGTTTATCAGTCAACCATGCAACGTGGTCTGAAAATGCCACTTCCCCTCTGACCATGTGATCCAAAATAGCCCCACCTGGTTCTCAGCCAGCATGTCCCCTGTCCCCATCTGTCATTCTACATCTCTTGTTTCCCCTCCACTAGGCTAACTGGCAGGTCCAAGAAGCCAGGCACCACGTTTGGTTCACCAGCGTAAATGAGGCAGCCAGCCCGGAGCCTGGTGTTCATTCATTCATCCATTCACTTATTGATTTCTTCAGCTCAAGTATTTACTAAGCTCCTACCATGAGCCAGACCAAGGATCCTGGAAACTAGGGATACAAGTTCCAAGAGAAAAAGGAAAACAAGGTCTCTCTCAGCATTTGATGATGGAAGGAGACAATGACAAGAAAGAAGCAAACAAGTAAATAAGAAACAAACAATAATAGCTAACAATGACTGGTTCCCACATGCCGGACACTGCTCTAGATGCCTTACATATCCGACACCCTCTGAAATAGGTACTATTATCATTTCCATTGGTAAGGAAACTGGAGCACAGAGGGGTTATGTAACTTGCCCGAGGTCACCGGTCCGGGAGGTGAAGGAGCGGGAACCCCAACCTTGGCAGTGGGGTTCGGGCCGCTGTGCGCATCGCTGTCCCTCTCACATACGGAGAAGAGTAGAGGGAAGGGACCGGCTCGTCCACAGTCCACACATCCTGGATAATTAATATTTGTTGGATGGATGAATGAAAGAAATAACACAGCACTTCTTACTTTATAAAGTGTGAGGTGTGAATGCAGAACTTAAAAAGCCTTCTAAAGTCCTTGTGAGGTTTCACGACCTCAGTTCACCCGTGTCCCGTACACTGCCTTCTGACTCTGTCTCCTGCATTGCCCCACAAGTGGGGACGATTTTATTGAGCATTTTTTCCTCAGTCAATGTAATGAAAATAAAGGTTACAAATATTTTTCCAAACTATATCCCTGTCTGTTAAGAATCATCACCCTAAGGTATTCATATGGCTGAGCAGAACTGGCCTTTGCATCACCCTGCTCTCCAGCGTCATCGATTTCTCTCTCGCCCTCTCTCCCCTTCATTCTCTCTCTTTCTCTTTCCTTCCCATTTTATCTTTACCAAGAGGCCACATCATACACTAGGTCCCAAATTAAAGTGACAGAGCTTAAAGAAGTGTTGCATTGAGTCCCCAGACGGCTCAAAAAAGATGGTAAACATTATGGTCAAGAGACCACAGCCTCAGAGGGGCTGCAGCTGACCAGACAGCCAGGGGCAGACAGTCCAAGTCCTCCTCTCAGCGAGCAGCAAGTCCAGGCTGGGTGGGTGCCACTAACACCCTGTGTAGAGCAGGGAGTCCCCAGGCACTGCCTGGGATCGGGGGGT